AAAAAAAAAAAAAAAAAGTAAAGATCTCTATCCTTTAAACTGTCAAACACCAAGCGGTCACCGGTGACCGCAACCTATTGTTCTGTAATTGTGTCTATATTGACGGTACTCGACGAGTTAATTGCCAAAATTACAAACGCTGACTAACCTTCTAAATATTAACCAATCCAGAATGAGGAATCTTTTGGCTAAGGCTTTGGAGTCAAGTGCATCCAGAAAACAGTTTCTATATAATGAAGAATTAATACAATTGCTGACGATCAAACTGCCAACTCCTTACTTTTTGCCTTTATTATTTAGGTTTAGGACATATACCAAAACTACTGCCTCGTTGGCCAAGTGGTCGCAGGTGCGATTGCCGAGCCATTCAATTCTCGGATTCAATTCCCAAGTCGGGCAAAGTATTAGTGGATTTTTTAAATAACCTCAGTATAGTAGCACTGAGTCTGGAATTGTACCCGGTATATGGCAATAAGCTCATCCTCCATTACATGGGACTCGTAACGTAAATAGTAGGTGTCACATGATTGTACAATGGCATTAAGTGCCATAATGTACACCTCTGCCTTACCCTTCGGGGATAAGAAGGCGTGGTGTTATCAAAACTAATGAGAAATTGACAATATACTTGCTCAAGTCTTTGTACCCACTTGGTCATAAAATCATTAAGTAGCAATCATAATGTTACGCATGGACATACCTATGTAGAGTACCGTATCATATCATCATTAGAACGTTCATAGTATCTGTCAGCCGGTTCGATGACCAGATCAGACGTGACTCCTTCGAGCGCCGACGTCTAAGCAACAATTACCTGTAATCATGATTTATCTTAATAATACGTTGCCATCCCATCATCTGAAACGTTCTAGAGCAAAACTTTATTTGAAAATCTCAACACGCAAGGCATACATTAACTGTATACTCGTTTTACAAAATAATACATATTGGATATTTCAGAAAAAAATACGGTTGAAAGTTTTCATCTTGCATGATTTTTTTTATATTTGATGGGCCGACATTTGACCACTATCTCGCCTTGTAGGTTGTCGCCTTGGTAAGCGATGATGCGGTCTGCGATGCAACACGTCGTCCCATAAGCAACCTATTCACTCGGGCCTTGAAGACACCTAGGTTATACCCTTCAGGAAATACAAACTCTGGCAGAGAATTCCACTCTAATTACCTTTAAAATAACAGGCAGCTTATTTTTACTCACGAAACTAGCCTGCGAATAAAGGGCAGGGTGTATTTAGCTTAAGAGAAGATGATCTTTAAGCTACGGCTTTTTTTTAAGGGTTGAAAATCATCGAATGACTGCTCGCGCCTGGGTGAGGCGGGAGGGAGTGTCAGACTCTTACTGACTAAAAACTCCCCGGTTACCCGTTAGGTTCTCTGCGACTCCGAATCGGCATCGGCCCTGTTGGGCCCCATCCGTGGTGATTATTGAAGGCAATATTGATTATCGCAGACCTATTCTAAAATGACAGAGCCAGCAATGACCCTCGCGGAATCTAGATTTTGATCACTTGCGTCATGGTATTAATACTAATAAATTGAATCGAATGTTGCATATCTCTTGTAGTATGACACATACGACATGTACATTCAAGGAATATACAAATTGTATAGTTTCGCCGTTACACGACTGGTGTCGCTTTCGTGTTGCCCAATCAACAATCTCCGCTATTATATGTTGGTTATGGGAAATGGAGTGTTCGTGATCTTTCCTACTTGTCTAACAATATTAATTAGCAGTGATTCATTGGCTCATTGTGTACAAATTGTAATAGATATTATAATAGGCTCGTTTAGGAAACTTTGTTCTAACTTTATAGGTCATCTTGAGTATTATTCACTCACGATCTGTCAACATTTACATCGTGTTTGTCTTTCTCGATAATAATAAGTTGAGATATTAATAGAGGAGAAGAAAATAAAGAACTAATACACAGAGAGAAGTAAAAACTATCGTTTTCTTTTGTTCTTCAGATTTATTTCGGAATCCAACGCGACGCACCGGACTTCGGTCTTGCGGTGTTTTCATGGTGGTATCTACTGTAGATTCTGGCTTACAGAAGTTGCAGCAGCGGTTTTGGAAGGCTGCGGCGGGCTTGCCTCATTAAAAAAAAATTAGTAAATTGACGCAAACTTGCAGTTACTATATTTTTATGTTAAAATTGGAAGACAGGTTCATTTCATTACCAAACACCACGGGAATTGCTTCATCCTGTCTTCAACTTCTATTTTTTCTTTTTTCTTATCTTAGTCCTATCCTTATCCAATAATAGGGTCACTCCTGCTAATCTTACAATAGTGTGTCGATACAGTCTGTCTCGGGTTGTTGTGTTGAGTATTTAGGCTATTTCTATTATGAAACTGAACTAGTCCACCACGACAATGTCGGGCGTCCTCGTTCTCATTTCCAATATTAATTTAATTATTGCAGTTTCCTGGATTTGCTGATGAGTTAAACAAATAATGTTTATAATGTATTTACATAATAGCGTGTCTAACGAACTATTGATAGTGATAGGCCGGTTAAATGAAAGCATGAAAGCTAGCGTTGAAGAGTAGATCCTTATCGAATGATATCGTCTTCCGTCTGCGTGTGTTTCATATTAAAGAAATTGTGTATCATGTTAGATATATTTTTCTTTTAAGTAAATCAATATTACTCTGCTTTTGTTTGTACAGAGTTCTTATGAACATGATGGTTTATGTAGAAAACCGCTGCGGTGTCGGTTAACTTCAAAATAAAGACAGAATTGTACCGTTTTAGCAAACTGTACAAAGTTAAGAATTTAGGCACACCTTACATTAATTAGGTAAGCCAAACGGCCAAACAGTAAACATGTCCGCCAAACAGCTAATTTCTTGCTTTTTCAACTTAAAAAAAATAAAAAATAATTATGTCCCCTGCAATATAAAACCACACAAATCTTACAAATCTAATATTCAATTCGAGATTAACGTGAGACTGTTCGAGAAACACGCTCCGGAGGTATTGATACAGAGGTATCCACAATAACTTTATTCAATGACATAATTTATGCAAATCGGTAACAGTTATACTCCACTCAATTATGTATGAATGATACGCGCGTGCTTAGTAATTCACGACCGGTTTTATATGTCCCTTTGTGGATACAGTCCAGTAGTTGCTGTTATGGAAGGATAAAGAAGTTTAGAATATGGTATACACTATACAAGTATCTTAGATGGTCAGTATATAGTGCCTTAAAACTCTTAGGGTCTGTTTCATCCTGTTTCACAATCTCCATGTAAATACCCGATACAGTTACGTGGCACATAGTTCATGCAAATTACGTTCTATATTCAAATGTATCTGGTACATAGTTGCTATCCAGAGTCCAGAGATTGTGAAACATACCCTTAAAGTTTTGAAAAGGTTTTATATAAAGTGTATTTTGTCTATAGTTATGTATTAATTTAACTTTTCTTTTGTTTCAGGGTAATTATCATTCAGTACCTATCATACATGCATTTGGCTTATACAGGTAAATCATATTTGTTAAGTTTTCAACAAAACAATAAGTTTCTGAATCATTGTATGAGTATTGTGAGCATTTGCATACAATTTGATCAGTAATATCACCAAACTTACTTCACGATAAATGTATTGAAACATAAATCAAACAGTACAAAAAATAACTCACGAACCGTTAAAATATATTCAGTGTTAAACCTCGCATTCACTTTGCTAATAGCTCGCAAAAAAGGCCGTCAAATCTATGAACAATTTCAAAGTAAACTATTGGCACCTGTTAAATGGGTGCCGACTGCAAATTATGCCAAACAAACCAGAATCTACTGGCCTCTTGTTTAATAAGAAGCACATTAAAAAAGAGGTCTATTTATACTGGAATTGTATACTTCAATTTGCTATTTTAAAATTGCAATATGTGCGGAAATAAGCAAGGAAATGTGCTAAAATAGTGTTGTTTTGTATCGAAAGGGGCACGAACGTGTCGTGTTCATTGGTTGCCACGACAATTTCCTCAAGAATTTGATATTGCTCGTTTACTGTCAAGGTTTCTAACCTTGTAACCGGTAATTGCTGTTATTTAATTAATTTTAGTACTTATTGTAAATAGTTAATGGTTACAAATTGGTTTGTAATATTTATGGTGTTCATGTTGTTAATAAACTTTAGTGTGGATTAAGTTCGATTCTAGTGTCTATCGGCTGTACGAAATTTAGATAAAACATGTAAATATAAAAATATCTAAGAGATAATTTCATTCAATACTTTTAGTGTTGCATAAATAAGAATTAATAAATTTTAAAATAACAAAATATGTAGGTACATAATTTCATTAAAACACAACTTTCAACATTCCCCGTGGCAATAAAAACTCCTGAAACTTGTTAAAGTCATAAACGCAGTATGATGATTCCTTCAACAAGTCTGGCAAGATTATAAATTACAGTACCTTGCACGGAGCGATAACGCATTAATGATAGAAAAGCTTTTCAGTATGGTGTTTCAATGGTTTCCTTTGACCATAACTTAAGCCACCCACTATATAAGGCATCGTATTGCGCATGCCAACCGAACAATGACGCCAAGCGTTTCCGATACCATTCCGATTGAAAATCTATTGAGTTAGTCGAGAAGGTATGTATTGTTAGGTTGATATATAAGTAGTATTGGATTTGTGAAATGTTGGAATAAAAGTCACTTATATCAAAAGTAAACTGTTCATGTTGTATATCAGACAAATTCTATTGGATACACAACCCTTAGATATTGTTTCTTTTCCCTCGGTATGGAAAACATAGAGTAAACTACACTTATCGATGGCAAAATTTCGTAATCAACAATTATTTTCTAACATAACATCGTTAGTTATGTTGACATCATTAGTTGACCTGTTAAAATATAAGGGTCTTCAACTGGTCGGGCTCCAATTCATGTTAATAAAATAACAATTGTTACTATAGATCAAAATAAAATTTGATTAATAGCATAAAATTGAATTCCTTGAATTTTTTTATTAAATGTAAATGGTAGAATAATTAAAATTAAATTTGATATTACTAGAGCAGACACTTTTCAGT